AAAAATAGAACAGTGTGTTTATTTCCAGCATTAACTGTGTGACCCTTAGCTGTCCCCACAGGCTTGTAATATTCCTTAAATCTGCTCACCTTATAACTGTACTGACTTGACTTAACTCTTGCTATTAGAGTGAAACATCACCATTGATACGATTTTGTTATTTTATATTGAACAAGTATCTCTTAGAGATTTAAGCACTGCTAATAAATTCAGAAGTACCTCAATGACTTGTACGGTTAATACCTACTCTTAAAAGTCATACAGTTTTCAGGCAGCTGAAGGCATTTGAAACTTGTGCTGCCTTATGCTAAATAATAATAATAATGCCTTGCTCTTATTTAGCACAAGAACAGTCAGTTCCAGTGCTGAGCATCGTAAGTGAAGTCTTTGGGGCTCGGAGAACTGCTCAGATAGCACACCAGACCTGTGTCACTCAGGGAGTAAGAAGGCAGCACATTCTGGTGCTGTATCCATCTTGTACAGATCTATCCAAAACAGAGTTCAAATTCAGTAATTAGCAGAGTTGGAGATAGGTGAGTGTTGACACAAATGAGAAGCAGAAAGGGCATAGCAAGAACATAGGCAGTTCTCAAATGGTCCCCTTGTACCTGTCTTTCAGTTTGAAATATATGCCACCTAACCTGGTTGCTTTGAACTAAATTAAAAAAAAAAGGAAAAAGGGCTATCAGTGCTACAAACTATGGAGAGCAGGGCAGAATGAAAAGAAGGAAATCTCTTTCAAGACCCTCTGACCCCCGAGTTGTTAACATACAGCAGTGCCCTTCCGCTTTTCCTTTTTGTTTCTCCTCATGTATAGAAGAGAGACGTGAGTGTAGATATTCCAAATCAATTCAAAGAGATAAACAAAAAGAATGATCTTGCTGGGTTTTGACAGATCTGCAGTGTTTCCCTAAGAAGTAACCCATACCTGTTCTGATCACTGGAAGCTGATTCCAGATCTTGCTTTCCTCAGACTTCAGACTGGATGTTGTGATCTGCACTGCTCCAGAGTTAAGCAGCTGCCCCAGTTGTTGGTAGACTGAAGATTGGTCTTTAGCATGCCCATGGCCCAGTACATTAACTGCTTTTAGTATTGAACTAAAAAGTCTTAATAGGCTCTAGAACCTGACCTTGAGCCAGGATGGAGAGCTTTTATAAGAACATTTATCCAAGAGTCCAAAAGTTATTATCTACCCTACAGAATAAGTGGAAGGTCAGATGTGGGACCAAATAATTTATACAGAAAAATACAAGATGCATGGTATGGATTTCAACAGCTTATATTATGTGCAGTTGGTGAGGTTAATATATCATTATGGTCTTTCCAATCTTAAAAATACATCAGCCAAAGCTTCTATGGAAAATTTGTTGAAGCAAACCTTAAACATTAGTATTTCATAGAAGGCTCTATTATGAAAGCTTTAATCTTATTTATGTCATTATTTAGAAATCTACTTGCTAGCAGAGGAAGGCTGTTTCAAAGAGTCATATGGGATTTTAACGTAAATCTTGTCAAAATTAATGACAATTTTACTGTTAAATCTTTTCAAAACACAGCAGTACAGAAGCCTAAGTGTCCAATTTCCCCAGGAAAGCTTATGTTTTTCTTAGCTGTTTCCTAGTTTTGTTTCTGTAGGCAGGAAGCCTTCTCCTGAACTGTAATTGGAGCCATTATATAGACATTTTGTATTGATTATCCTGTTGCAAAGCGAGAGGATAAAATGAGGATGTGACCGCGCTCTACAAAGAGCATGAATTTCTTATCATCTGCCTGGTTATTGTCAGCTTCTGAATCTGAGCACCTGCTTGTCTCTCCTAACTGAAAAGGATGAATTTTAGCCAATATACAAGTCTGAGAGCAATGAACTGGCCTTGTTCATTATGGGGCTCATTTCTGTGCTTTTCACCTATGTACTGATGCTCTCCTGCATTTGGGAATAAAAAGCCTGACAATTTTTGCTTGTGTCCAATTCAATTAAGAATTATCAAACTCATCAAACTGTACTTTAAGGTTTGATAGGTTCCCTTAGACTAATAACTTTACTAAAAGACTACTAGACTTTACAACTACAAGACCTTGTTTCTTCCCCCAAATGCTAGTTCGTGGGATCTGAATTCAGGATGACATGCCAACAAAGGATGTTCAACATTCAGTTTTGAACTTTATCTCTGTGAATGATGTCCAAGTTAAAAATATTAGCACAGGTAATTAATATGTGAAAAGCATTGAAGCTAATTTGAGAGTGAGCAGACTAAATCTTCTACCAACCTATACTGATAGCCTGTGAAAAAAATGTTTCTTTTCAAGAGATCTCACTGAAATACTATTTTTTTCTTCATTTATAAGCATCAGCTAGTTCAGTCACATTAAACCAATGTAAACCAGAATCAAATGAGCCAATCTACCACCTCAGTGAAGGCACAGACTGGCTGCTTAGCGTGCGAGACCCCAAAGGATGTAACTGCAGGGACATTGCAGGGGAGACTCTGAATGCGCTCAGCGTTCACACCGCGCCTCGCAGGCTATTGCCGTCAGCAGACTTGCAGAACAATCCCTGCAAACCCACACGGGAGTCTGACAGGGCTCTCCGGAGCGTGCCTGATCCTGTGTGCTGAGCAGCTTGGCATGCAATCAAGAGTACTCAGAGTGGCTGTCCGCAGGCTGGCTGTCCACAGTATGCATTGCGTGAATGGAGGTTGTTCCTGCTCATGAACTGTTGTGTAGCCATAACCATTTCACTACCCAAATGGATTTTACTCCCACATCACTCGTCTGCTCCATCCAGGCCCATCTTGAACTCCCTTGCCCAAAATTCATCCTCACAAAGAAGAGAAGAGAGAATAAAAAAGCATACAGATGGGTAATTTTGTTTTTCCTGTGAGATAGAACATAAATTGTATTTGGCAGTGGACTAGAAAAAGGCTGTTTATTGTAACAGACTCAAGCTACGATTCAGTGCAAGCTCTGCTGTGAGGTACTCTAGCACAAGCCAAGACAGACACCAGAATCCAGGAGAGAGAGTGAGAAAAATGAATTGTCACCTTCCAAGACGTCAGTGCAAGTCTGCCTAAAGACATTTATCTCTAATGTGCACAACCAGCTAAAGCAAAAATCTACCAAGCCTGAGCATTTTAGGAAAATTGAAGTTTCAGACTTGCCAGGCAGTCCAGATTAAAGCAGATTCTCTTAATTAATTGTCTATACACCTTTGAGTAGCAGTACCACTGTTGCACAAGTCTTTTAGCATCAGGCCCACGCAGCCAGACCAAATATTTGTGTTCTAAGGAAAGTGAGTCAGATAAAATGAATTAAGGAAACTTTGAAATTACTGTCATCTGCCAAGGAATATTTTTTCAGAAAAAGAAATCTCAGAGGTAAGATACACTGCTGTCAGTTCTGCAATAAGGAATGGTCATGGTAATTTCAGAAGTTAGGTTTTTAAACAAGTCCTGATTGAACTTGCTTGGTAGCTGGGAGGGGGACAGGGCTGCAGCATCTCTGTGAGATGAAGTCACCAGGAGCTGTCCCCACATTGCGCAGAGACAGTTCCAGCTGGCTTCATGGTGGACAAAGCTAAGCCTGTCAGCAAAGCTGGTGGCGTCTCTGTGATAACATGTTTCTTAAGAAAGGGTAAAAAACGCAATGTGGTAGCTGGGAGAGAGGAGTGAGAATATGTGAGAGCAACAAGTCTGCAGACACCAAGGTGAGTGAAGAAGGAGGGGGAGGGAGGAGGTGCTCCAAGCACCAGAGCAGAGAGATTCCCCTGCAGCTGCTGGTGAAGACCTTGGTAAGGCCGGCTGTGCCCCTGCAGCCCATGGAGCTCCATGGTGGAGCAGATCTCCACCTGCAGCCTGTGGAGGAGTAGGAGCCCATGCCAGAGTAGGTAGCTGGGCCCTGAAGCCCATGGAGATCCCATGCCAGAGCAGGCTCCTGGCAGGACCTGTGGACCTGTGGAGAGAGGAGCCCAGGCTGGAGCAGGTTTGCTGGCAGGACTTGGGACCCCATGGGCGACCCACGCTGGAGCCGTCTGTTCCTGGAGGATGGCACCTATGGAGGGACCCAAGCTGGAGCAGTTTGTGAAGAACTGCAGCCTGTGGGAAGGACTCACATTGGAGAAGTTCATGGAGGACTGTCTCCCATGGGAGGGACCCCACGCTGGAGCAGGGGAACAGTGTGAGGAGCAAGGAGCAGCAGAGACGTCTGATGAACTGATCAACAACCCCCATTCCCCATTCTCCCACGCCGCTTGGTGGGGAGGAGGTAGAGGAGCTGGATTGAAGTTGAGCTTGGGAAGAAGGGGGGTGGGGGAGAAGGTGTTTTTAGTTTTATTTTTGTTTATCACTATTTCTATTTTTAATATGCAGTAAATTAAACTTAAGAGTCTGTTTTGCCTGTGACTATAATTGGTGAGCAATCTCCCTGCCTTTATCTTGACGAGATAAGGAGCTTTTTCAACTATTTTCTCTTCCTGTCTTGCTGAGGAGAGGGAGTGAGAGAGCAGCTGGGTGGGCACCTGGTGGCCAACCAAGGCCAACCCACCATAGAACTATACTGTTCACCCATTTCCAGATGTAAATCTAACAGATACACAGTCTTGCAGAGGACACATCTGCAAAGTGTCATGCAAAGGTTTTTCTCTTTCTACCACTACTAGAGTGCAAATTCTCCAACACGGGTGTCTCCCCAACACTACAAACCTAATTTTTGACCAAATCAGTTTCTTTTCCTGCATGTTGATCATTCTAGAGTCATACTGTTATTCACACATGAAAATAATTTTTTTAAAAAGTAAAGAATTCTGAATGCAAAATTCAGCCCTGCTGGCAATAGCATAGGCTCTGCAATCACAGTTAAGATGCAATAAATTATCTTTTGCTGTTCTTTTTCCTGAGATGTGTTCAACTTGAAACCTGACATTTCTAAAACCACAGTCCCTTTGCATCATCTTAGAGAGGCAGTAAACCAAGTCTGATTAAAACAAAACTTAAAACAGTACATCATGATTCAAGGAAAAGATTTTATTTTAGGGCTAACAAGTTGGTAATAAATAAAGGAATATAATAATGTAATAACAGATGTTCTCATGCACTTAACACATACAATAACGCTGGCTTACACTGCTGTTTGGACAAATTGAGAAGAGGTATTTGGCAATATTTTAAGTTTTAATAGGTTAGAGATTATAGAACAAGAAATTCTTTCCGATGTTTTTACATTTCTTTTATACAAATTCAAATAAATATTAATACATCTGTTTTTCCTCAGATTTTGTGTTCACTTTTAACATGCCCGATAACTAAGCCACAGTAATATACAACTGCCAAGAAAGAGTATCTATGAATTATACTAATTAATATTTCTAAAAATGTATCATATTTATGTCACATTGTGCAAGCTCTTTATGTAAAATTAGATTTTAGGAAAAACTGCAGAAAATTTAAACTCATTAAAACATATCCAGTGCAAAGGCCAGACTAGTCCACACATTATGGTACTGTAATGTAAGCCAATATAATTTAAATAATAAAGCATGCCTATATGGTCCAGAGGAAGCTGAATGTGTTTTATGTTTTAAAGATCTGACATCTAATATGCAGATTCTGCAATATCAGATGATTTTCAAATCTTCATGAGATGGCAAATCTTAAGACTTTATAAGTAGGCTTTTTTTTTTTTAGGATAACTCACATTAACAGTACTACAGTGGCCAAAAAAGACAAACTATTATAATAGAAATCAATCTGATTAAAAAATTAAATATTCCAATTAACACTGAAAAAGTGTTTGTAATCGTTATTTACAATTCATTAATGATACCAGTGTATAACTCCACACAGTCAAAGTATACCCTTTTCCGAGCAAATACGGACTCTTGTATCCCCATTCAAGCATTCGATAGTAGTATGATGTTTATGTACAACATATCAATTTAAAGAAGGAGATCGATCTGTGGTCCAGAGTAATTCTATATATGGCCATTTGGTTTGCAAGCAGCGTTTCACAGGAGTGTCGTCGGTCTGTAGCATTGGTTCTTCAAAACCCATAACAACTGCTGTGCCTTCCACATACATGACCTGTCAAAATAAATCCAATTATGTCCGCCTATGTTTGTTTAAAAACTCTCTATTTATTTAAAACTCTCTATTCTATTATTTTCACCGGGTTAGGACAGGACTTGTTATGATACTTTTTTTTTTTAACTACAAAAAGCAAATCCATGAAGTTTTATATACTTTTTTTTTTTAAATTAAGTGAGGTATGAGATCAAAAAACCTTATCTGTTAGACTCAAGTGCCTGAAAATCCTGATCAGTCCATATTCATTTGACTGTTTAATTCAATATACAGTAAAGGCCAAAACTGGGGGAAAAAAAAAAATCTAGGAAATGCAATGCAAAAATTCTGTGACAACAGATCTTCTACTACTGTTGTAGTTGCAAGGTTTGGTATTGTTATTTTTATAAGGACAGTCTTCCTTAGACTTAACTTTATGGAACTAATTTTCTATAACATGGAACTTCTGTTGCAAATCAGCTCTATTCATAAAACAATAATCAAAATGCTATAAGCAGAATTCTTTGAAAACAAAAATTTGTTTACATTTTCTTGATTATGTATATGTGTTCAACAGTAAAGAGAAGTGCATCTTTGAATGCTTTTGCCTACATTTTGGGGTACGAAACTGCTGGACATTTTACAGGGATAATTTTAAGGACTTAACTTCAAGCTACTCCAAAGACTGAGTATACACACTTTCTCAAAGAGTCTTCTTATTTCAAGTTATTTTTGTTCCCTATGTCTATTAATGCCTTAAACTTTTCTACCCTAAATGCTAATTCAGGAACTAACTTAGAGGCAGCCATGGAGTGTCATGTATACCCCTCCTTCCAAGAACGCTGAAAATGAAACAGGTCATTTTTGTCCACCACCACTAAGTGGTTCCAAAACCTATCCATTTTTGATGTAGGTCTGGAGTACTACAATACTTCACAAAAAAATTCCAAACATTTCAAAATAGATGTAGGGTTACTTATAAAGTTGCAGTTTGTCTGTGTTACAGCTCCATTGTCCTTTACAGTTCAGATCTCACTTCTCATGGAAATGCATGAGAAGTGCTCTATTTAAAACACACAGGTTAAGATATGCAGTCTAGTCAACCGATCCAATATACTAGCGAAAATATGATCAGGGGCACAAAGCAGTTTCCAATTCCAAATATATAATTTTGGAAGAAAATTATCAAAATAATAGTTTTGTAAAAAGTCTGTTTCAAATTAAAATATTTTGCCTGTAACTATCATCAGTTTTACAATTTAACACAGGGAGTCAGTTCTGCATACTAATGGTTATTAAGGCTAGATTTATGTTTCTTAAATCTTACCTTTTCATTATAGTTAGATTGCTTCAGTCCATTGTAATGGTAAACAGTGAACGACTCTGAAACCCTGGAGTCCTAGCAGAAAGAAGACAGTTAATTTCATGTAACTTATACACTGTGCCTCGACAGTCTCTTCTCTTTACAACTAAACAGATGCATTTAAACAGGAAGACTCAAGGAAATTGTACAAATGTACAATTTCTTTTAGGTGACATCATCTTGAAGATTTTGTTCATTTTACCTTTCTCATCAGAAGTAATAAAAAGATGTCAGTAAATTAATGGGTAACACCCCCGAGAGTAAGTCACGATTTTCTGTGTTCATCTGGACACTTCAAGCTAAAACTTCAGCACTGACTATGTAGAAACTGTCCTAATTTTTCAAGTCAGACACCTTAGGTAGTAGCCACATTCACGTGTATTTATGACTGTTTGGATGCTACTATGTTAAATATTTACTAAGGACCAGATCCAATCTCCAACCCTCCATTTTAGACCTAAAAAGTTATTTATGCCCACACCTGCCTAATTGTAAACTAATTGTGAAGACACCTGTTCAGCTGAGGCCTAACAGCAGATGTACTGCAGTTGTCAACCTTTACCATTTCAGGTGTTTAAATGCTTTAGTCCTAAAAGGACTGAAGAGCTTTGCATTTCAGTGAAACAGTAAACACAAATCAGGTGTAATAACATCTCTTTTAACAAAAGCTTATCCCTTTTTTAAGTATATGGAGGTAAAGGCGGGAATGAGAAGAAAGCTGCTGCGGTTACAGTACATCCATCAGATTACAAAAAGACCTCACTCATTTTTCTCCTCTTAAATGACTCAAAACCTTATCTCTGTATGGGTCTCTCACAGCAACTTCACAGCTCACAGGCTATTCAGTGGAGGGAGGGTGGTGAAAAGGAAGGTAAGTGGTGACTCCACTTGCAGAAGAGATGAATAAAATCAAGAGATTAATAAAACCTTATTCACAGAGATGAATAAAATCAAGCTTTGCTGGGAAAGAAAGAGCACACATTCTTTTCCCTGAGGAAGGTATGCTCAGTCTGAAGGAAAAGAAATGCTGCTTTCCAGTTCCTGTCCCATGGATGTTAAGAATTTGGTGCAGTAATTGTTTCCCCAAAAAAGGGGCTACAGGGGAATTCAGGAATCCCCCTCTCCAGGTGACTGCCCTAAGCACTAGAGTCAGGCTTGCTCTCTCAGGCTGAATGATTTCAGAATATTTTTCTTTTAAGCCAACAGCTTTGAAAGGGAAAGCTGAGATCCCTTCCTGCTTTTGAGGTGGAGTTTAGTACTTTCTAGGAGAGTTAAGAATGGGGGCTTGAATATTCACAGCAAGAAGGAATCTCTGGATCTCCTGAGCACTAGGTAAGTGTTCAAGTAGTGTATAAAAGAGAACATCAACAGTTCCAACCATCACTGACATCTGCTATTTCCTCACAGTATTTTGAAGAAGAAAGACATTCATCTTCATTTCTGTAGAATTTCACTTTCAGAAAGAATTCTGAACGAGGTGTCCGTATGGAGAAGGGCTCCTGCTCTCTGATTCACAGAGCACTGACAGATTGGGCAGCATATCCGTGCCCTCAGCCTTCATTCATTAACTGATACTGGCAGGTCCCAGTCCAAACTATGCTGGTTGTTCAGACTGTACTCTTAAGGCAGTAACACTTTCCCATGTTTTCTACTGGAGCCAGCGAATGTTCCACAGCACAGGCAAAACAGTGGTGAGGAATCACGTGCAGCAGAGAGTTAGTACTTGATGGACAGGCATCGACCTGGGGGCTCCAACTTTACAACAGGTAAAGAGGTCCTCCACCAACTCTCTAGGTGACTAAGGCAGATATCTGCCCACAATTCTACTATGCTCCCTTCCCCAGCTGCCCTTTTGCAGCCAGCAATAGGCAACAGAAGCAGCAGCCCCATACGACGGCTGTTTTCCCCTCCAGCTACCTATGGCCTACAGTACTGGACAGTTTAGGCACAGCCAATTATGGAGGATGTGCTTTGGCTTTCTGAACTTTATTCTAAGCATCTGGGGCCTAAAATTAAGCAGTGGAGTCTTCCAGATTTGCAAGTGTAATATAATTGTAAGAAATAAGATTAAATTATATTCAATTGTAAAGGTATTTCCACTTCTGGATATACAAATGAAAGGAAAAAGAAGCAGTTGGCAAATACACCACGCAGATATAATTCTGTAAATCTGGAGAAAATGAACAGTCTAACTCCTTTTTCCTCTAGATGATGAATCATCCCTTATATTCAGTCCCTACCATCTTTGGCAGTGAAGTTCTGGTGTCTTCTGAATGACCAGACTTTCATAGTATAGAATACTACACCCAAACAGTTGGGTGCACAACCCTTAACAAAGAGAGTCTTGCTGTAGGCGTTTTATTAGTTTCACATTTCCTTGGTTGTAAAAATTAAGCCATATAGTTTCAATGACATGTTAAGCCACAAAAGCCTTCTCTCAGCTCTTCTCTTGCCTCACCAGCCTATCTTTCTGTCCCTGGGGAAACCCGTTCTCTTCTGCCAAGACAAGCATTTGCATGGCCATGGAACAAGCCTCTATAAACCTGCAAAGAGAGCTCTCAGCTGGAGCAGTTCCCTGTTCTGGTTTACCACATTTCTGTACAAAGAGGTTCCTGGTGGCAGGAGGGAGGCAGTGTGAGGACAGGAAAACATGACCCAGGGCAAGGGGAGAATAGGACAGCAGTGTTAGGTTAAAACACACTTCTCAGTGGTGGTGCTATCTTAATGAATAAATGGAACAGATTCAGAATTTGAAAATAATTTTCCATAACCCTGGCAGATACTGACTTCCACATATGCTAAACACAGCTGTATCATGACTTTTTGTTACACTGTCAAAAATTTTACATTATTTGAAATATACATTAAAATAGTTTTAAATATGTTTGTAACCTTTTCCCATTCGCTAGCAATTACAGCAGACCTTTGTAATATGGATAAAAATAGCATGGTCATTTATTCGCAGAAAAACGAAACTCATATGAACTTTTTGAGTAGGGAACCAGTTCAATTTCGTATGCAAAATGATTATATATTTCCTGAAGTTAATTTTAGAACTTGTCACTACAATGGAGTTTCCTTCCAATGTAAAGCTGACAAAATCATGGATACCTTATGCAAAATGGAAGTCTACAGTTTGTTGTGTAATACAAGAAGTTACTTGCTGGTCAGCTGTGTCAAATGAATGCAATACTTATTATTAAAAATAGCTCTGTGATATTGATGGAAGTGTTTAATGAATCTCAAAGACAAGCAGAATAGACAGTGCTCTGCAGCATTAAAGCTGTATTGATTACCTGCTCAGGGAAAAATTCTTGCAGAAAGGGACCCAGTAATATGATGCCCAGTCCTTCTGGGTCTAATTTGGTCTTCATGAGGTTTACACTGTGACAAAAACATGGAATATAAAAGTATGAGTAAGACATTTTTATTCTTGCATGACTAAGTTATGCTGTGCTACCACAGTACTGGCTGCCAAGTATAGCAATAGTATTCTATTTTTAAGATTAAGTGACAACTACACCAGAATGGCATGCAAGTTGCCAAAACATGGTTATTTTTAAATAAAAGTAATCTGTTATTTTAAATTAAATAAGTGATAATTCTGAAGGACCACCATATTTGGTAAAATAATTTGAGACCCACATAATCTAAAACCAGGTTTACAGCCCAAAAGGCGTTTTGCTGTCTTGTAAGCATTCTGGAACTTATATACATAAAACAGTCATCTTTTAAATACAGCTCCGTAACTACCAAACAACCTGGTTTTAAATGGAGATTTGAAAAGCCTCCAAGATTTTCTAAGTACACTGAAATAAAATTAAGTTTAACAGACACATTTCTTATTTACATCATGTCCTTGATATCAAAGAAGTCAAAAACAATGAATAATAAAGTTATTAACAGTATTAATCTGAAAGTCTTACTGCATGAATACGATATAATTTCAGGTCACTACAAATGAACAGCAACTGTAACTTTCTATTTCTGTTTAAGCAATATATTTCTACAGGCATCAGCTTGCTTAGACATTTATTTGCATCTCCCTATCCTTTTGCCCAAGTTACAAGTTGTACCGTACACAAGAGTGTCCTCACTGGGTCAAACCAACTGAGCGTCTTGCCCAGTATCCTGTTTCTGACACTGGTCAGTAGTGGATGCTTACAAAAGAGTACAACAGGGCAAACATACAGTGATATCCTTAGTTTACCCTCCCCATTTCCAGCAGTCTGCTGCTCAAAGACATCTTCAGTGAGAGGCAGTATCTAAAACACAAAGATATATATTTTTTCTTTCCATCCATGTGCCTAATAGGCTTTGAACCCATATACACATGTGGCATTTCATAAACTCCACTCACAAAATTAAAATTACACTATGGATTCTGGGAGTAAGTATCTCCTCCTATTTTGAACCTGCCACCTGATAATTCAGTTTGAATTCATTTTTGTACTGTGAGAAGCAATTAAAAATCGTTCCCTATTTATTATGAAACTCTTTTAGAGACCTCTAGTACATGCCAATGGTCGTCTCTCTTTTCCAGGTTGAATAGTCCTAAACTAGTTCTTACTTGTACTAATGCCATTCTGTAGTTTCGATTAGCCTCGTTGCCTTCCTGATACCTTTCTACAATGTTCTTTTATTAAGATGGAGTGAAATGTCATGCTTTTATACAATGGCATAATTCCTAGAAATCCCACTCCATATGTCTGTCTATCACTGTGTATCAATTTAAATCTAAGATCTGTTTCCTGAATGGTAATATCTAGTTCACAGCCCAAAAATGTGTATATAAAATCAGGATTGTTTTATCCCAAGTGCAATCAAGCTACATTTACTGTATTGAGACTTCTCTGTTACCCTGTCCTGCAGTAACTTCTGCTGCTCTTCCACACCATTTTTTAATAGCTCTAATACTTTTGTATCAGCAGCAAACTATCATATTAATCCCTACCTTCAAATCCTCACTGGTGCTAAGACAAACTTCACAGACTTAACACAAATTCCTGTCAAATTCCTCTAATGATCCCCCTCCATTAAGAAAAAATGACATTCTTATCTGTTGATCAGTTAATTTATCTACAAGAAAACCTTCCTTCTTATCCCGTGTTTACACACGAAACATTTATATGTGAATTTCCTCCAGATTGTCCTTCAAATTCTTTTCTAAGTACCATTGTCCATTTGTCACCTTCTCATTCTGGTACTGTCTGGTACCAGAACACTTTACAGTGGTATGTAACCTAAAATAGTTCAGCAATTTCATTCTGATGTTTCTTCAGAATTTTGGGTTTTTTTACTTATCTTGACACCTCCAGATTCCTAGTTAATCTGACCACCCATAAAAAGGCTGAAGTGTGGAAACCTCCCTGTAATCTTCCCCAGTGAAGATGAGAACTCATCCCTATTGTCTGCCCCAGTGAATATGAAGAGGAATTCACTACACTTTTCTTACTGACTTTGAATACTTTTTAATATTGGGGATCACCTATCAGCACTACAGACCTCTTGCAAGTCTCCTGGTTCTGATAGGCTTAAAAAAATATACTATTAGTTTATAATAATAAATATATTTTATTATATTATACATACATATATATGAAATAAAATTATTTTATAACTTTGCAGCTCAGTCATCAGAAGATTTTAACTCTGCTTTATTTTGTATTTACAGTTAATGTTCCATAATGGTACATTCTTCCCTATGTTTTTTGTGTAGGCACTACATTTTTCTTTCAGAAGACACAGTCTTAGCTTCTCATAGCTGCCTCTTTTATACCACCTAGGCTTTTAACCACCTAGGTGTCTTTTGTTGGGGGCTGAGTGCAGAAGGTGTCTTTCCTAGCTTTTTTTGACTATTGTTGCATGTAAGCATTTTATGCTTTTGGATACCACTTACATGTCTTCATTTTTAAGTAGCTTCCTTTCTTCATCCTAACATAGTACTAGTAGTAAATGATTTGGCTGCTTTTTGGTTTTGCCTCAATACACACAGAATACGTTATGCAATTTTTAAGAGAGTGGCTCTGTTAAGGCCCTTGGAAAAGAAATTTCAAAATTCATGAAACTGAATGTGATATCCTATAAACTATGTTAACTTAATATCTTAAAAAAATCATTTTCACTATTCAAGTGAAACTACAGTGGAGGATTTGCAAGATACTGGACTTTAATCCTTCTATTGCTCACTCCTACTATTCCCAAAGCACAAAATTTAAGATATTTCAGTAGCTGTCTAAAACATGCTCAAATTCTTGAAATGCTGTAACAGAGTTCTAAAAACATTTTTTGTAAGCAGAACCAAGGCAGATTTAAGTGAGGATATTTTTGAAAATGCACTTAAAATTATGTAATAAAATTAAAGCAAGCTATATACTCACTAATGAAATACAAGAACTGTTTAAAAATGCAGAGCTGTACTAAGTTTTTAAGTATGGGCAGTGTAAAAAATTAAATCAATCAAGCAGGAGGGGAGATTTAATAAAATTGATTACTGTATGTTTCAGCTGAGGCTCTTTCATTCAGCAAATAGCTAACACCATTCAATGTTACCAGTACTACAGCAGAGCTACCAAAACATGTGTGTGTACGTGCTTCAGTCACTTCAGCGCAAAGTCTAGCACCTTAACTGAAGAGTATATGAATGTTGGGGTGATGATACTGATGGCTGAGAATTGTGTGGGGACAAAAGCCTCCAGCACTGGTCAAATAGACAGATAGGATAAAATGGTTTAAACCAGCTAAACCTAGAGTCACAGATGTACTCAGATCGGTGCCCTAAAAGGTATCAGATGGTTTTTAGAAACAAACAAGAGAGCTGGGTTCTCAGATGTATTTACTAAAAGATTAGAAAATTTTACTAAAATCATATGCAACGGCATTCAGTACTGGAATGGCTAATCCACCTTGTTAATTCACATCTGCTCTACAAAGTTTTCCCTTCTATAATTCTCAAACTCTATGCAGGTCTGACCGTTATTCATCTTGAGATTCTGATAAGCTTAAAGCCTTGGATTAGATGATCACAAAGAATTTCCATTTAGTTCTGGAACTAAAAAATGTAAATAGTACACTTGGAAGCAATGCCTTTAATTTTACTTAAAAATAAACAAACAAAAAACAACCAGAAGAGCCTGCATGAAATTTGAAATGTGTTATTTATACCTGTGTTCCACATTAAGTTGACAGGACGTCTAGAACCAAAACAGAGTAGGTCCTCAAGACGGTAGTATTAGACAACATTTTTATTTAAGAGGAGATGTTTCAAGACTGAATATTCCATGGTCTGATCATGCTTTTTCAATATAGTAGGCCTTCTGACTGACTCTTCCTACATGAATTTATATTTGTTGTGCTATACACAATAAAATAGGCCAAGGCTATGCCACAAACACCCTGAAAGCCAAACAGCCAAATGGAAAACTGCTGAATGCAGAAAGAGGATTTCTGCAGATTTATTGAGGCAGCAGAACAAAAAGGCCAAAAGAAAACTTCTCAGACCTATTAAATGAAGGTTTTTTTCTTTTTTCTGCTTTAAAAAAAACTTCTGCAGATTTCACCATTTATTGACATGATATGAATGCTAGCCTTTTTCTCTTGTATTTTCTTTGGTTTTAGTTTCCTGGGTGTCTTTTGGTTTCAATTTTCACTCCTATTCTCCACAGAGAACAGCTCAGTAAACTTTGTGGTACTTCATAACATATGAAAGGACAGAAAATGGCAACAATCAAATTTCAGATCATTGTGGTAAGTAAACTTGCAGTCTCCACAGCCATTCTACAGAAAAACTGATTTAGACCCCAATAAACCAGACCATATGCTTATGAAAGAGCACAACTAGCTTTTGGTGATGTAAGAAAGTTCAAGCACATAGCTCTCTCTTCTGCATTAAACATTTAGTGGCAAAACATGGTAAGCTTTGACACCATGCTGCCACTGAATATTAGTCCTGTCTGTCCACATTTATTTCCAATTGAAAATAAATTACCTTTTTCATTTGATAGTTTTATCTCTAATCCTAGAAGTCAAGGTGTCATTTCTGGAGACAAATGACAATTATAAACACTACAAGGTACTGAGTGTTGGTGGAAACAAAAGTGTAACTGAAGCAGTTTCAACTTCAAACTCTGTAGACAGATCCAGTGGTAACCCAATGCTAATCTGCTGCTGAGTACCTTGGTGGTTTGGCTTTTCTGTCACACAGTTTCACCCTCATTAACATACAGAAATCTATTCATTACTATCTCCTCATATATAGTAATGCAATAAGTCAGAGGCTTTTTTTTGCTTCTACTTATGACCACCAAAGTTAGAGACATTTTAATTTGAATTCCTCCCATTTAATTTAAAGCTGATCTAAACACTTCAAAATAACATTCTGTGCCCAAAATGCAAGCTAGAAAAAAATCTAGAAAAAACCCCTAAATTATAATTAATACGTGGTTAACTGATACTTCTGTAGTATTTAAATTTTATTATACTTACTATTCAGGATCTGAAACAAGGTCCAGAGCCTTCATTACATCTTCTAGCAGAGTGTCAGGTATAAAACCATTATCTGAAGGAGTAGCAAAGCTTCTCATTAGGAAAAGCAAAAAAATGCTTTCTAGGAGTACAAATTTTATTAAAAAATACAAATACTGCATATCTTTATCTCTAAAATTTGCAAACAAATGGTGGGGGTTCTAGAAGGTATATAGTTTTCAAACACTTCTCTCCCACTTTAAAAAAAATGAGGCATGCAATACAGAAACTGTGGGTTTATCATTCATACACTTAGAACCTTAATACTTGCTAAGAATTCAATTTCTATACCAGTGTCCACTTGATACCATGGGATAATAACTGTAAATTTTTTCCCTTTTGCTTAGTTAAAATAATACTTCAATGTTAGACATCCTCGGTTTTCCAAAATAGAAGAAAATTTTCAGTATATGCCATGTACATTCAAGAACAAAATTTCATGAAGAATGCAATCACAGTGGATCAGTTAATTTATGAAAATGTAATATAAGAGCAATCAAATTATATTTAAGCTTTATGTTAATTACAAACAACATTACAAGGTTAAAAAACTTATGCTGCAAGAACACTACTTCCCACTGCACAGTGTTGTAGTCAACTTCCCTTACTACAGAATTCTCAGAAAATTTCTTCATCTCACTTGTAGATTGACTACTGTATTGAAAATTTCTTGTCTTAAGTACTATTTCATTCCTCTCTTAATCAGCTCAGGTGTAAACAGCGTATTACCCTGGCACAGAAAGGAAAATGAATTTGAAAATGCAGTATTTGAACAAATTTTAGAAAATAATGGTCCTATTTTTGAAGAGATACCCTACACAATGCAGTATTCATTAATATTTCTCTCTATTGAATTAGTACATTTTGATTATAAAATCTTATTTCAGCAAGAAGTTAGCCTTTACCCTCAGGGTCATATGTCTGGAAAACTCTTCTAGCTTGTTCTGAAGGTGCTTCAGGAGCAACAAGGGCCATATCCTTAAGAGGAAAAAAAACCCAGAAGAAAACTTTCAGAATATTCTTAATTAAGATACAGGTTACTAAGGAAATATTTAGCCATACTACACAAGTTTGGACCTTAAATTAATGCAAATTTAAACACAAAAGAAAAATTACAGTAATTTGGCAATATTGCTGATAAAGAAATACATTAAAGATTATTCCACAAACTTCTAGACAAATTTTATGTAAGTCTTTTCATGCAGATGTTGTGGCACAAAAGCTACTTGGACACTACATGTGTTATGTGGAGATTTAGACATATAGTATCATTCTTTGTATCTGAAAACACATATACATGTACCAGTGAAATTTAGTGAGTGTACTGTGCATATACGGAAGAATATAAAAATTATTTAGATTGAAAGCTGTGAGAGAATTTTTTAAAGTCCATTGCACAGAATAGCAGAACACAAATTTGTTAACTGCATTAAAAAAGTACGATTTCAACAGTAGATATTGTAATGCTTTTATTAATCTGTGACTTTAAAAATATCAAATACAATCACGCTTTCCAAAACATACGTGGACAGGCACATGTCTATATCCTATTGTAAAACCAGCAAAAAGCATATCCCTCTGGTTTTATGCCCAAAACATTATTATAAAAAAAGTGAAATTGAGAAGTTATTAATGAGAAATGAAAGGTGGCATAAAGGGTAAGAAATGCACCTATTCAAGACACTCTTTAGTTTAAAAAGATACAAAGAATTGATATTCAGATAGAACACGAAACTCCAAGATAGAGCTCCAAAACCTGCTCACTAGGAGTACTTAAATCCTACATCTCCTCTTGCAAATTTACAATCACCCATGTTGTTTTTCACATAGAAAGGAAAATTAAGAACTTGCTCAGAGGGAAACACTGCATTTCACAATACCCTCTCTATAGTTTTTCTTCCTGTCAAAGTGAAAATGTAATGTTACCTGCTATGACCCCCAGAAATAGCAAGCACTGACATTACTCTGAGTAACACTAAACCCTGGGAAACACGCTTTTGTTCGTAGTGTATTAAGTACATTGAGTTGTTACAAATCAAAAAGTTACCTTAAACTGTTTCATAAAGTATACATAATCTTTTTATTTCCAGTTCATTTCAACTTTGTTTTCTGGAAAGCACATCTGATCAACACATGGCTCAGGGGCTGGTGGGTGCCATTGTCAGAATTTTGGTTTTTTTGACCACGGGGCGGTTTACACGGCACCGGGCGTCCTCGCAGCAGATGGAGTGCAACTGACTCCAAGGGGCAAAGGATTCTTGCTTATGAGCTGGCAGGCCTCATAGAGATGGCTTTAAACTAGATTTGAAGGGGGAAGGGG